GCTGTCAAAGTGCCTTACACCTGTAATCCTAGCACTTTGGGAGGCTGAAGTGGGTGGATCACTTGAGGTCAGGAGTTCAAAACCAGCCTGGCCAATGAAACCCCATGTCTACTAAAAGTACGTAAATTAGGCAGGCATGGTGGTATGCGCCTGTAGTCCCAGATACTTGAGAGACTGAGGCAGGAGACTCACTTAAGCCTGGGACGCGGAGGTTGCAGTAAGCTGAGATCGCACCACTGCACTCCAGCCTGGGTGACAGAGCATGACTCCATCTCAAAACAACAAACAAGCAAACAAACGGAGCCGCTTTTTGGTGACTCCACACTGAGGCTGGTTCTGGGTATAAGCACCCAGGAGTTACCCCGGGTGGCAGGGACCTCATGCCTCAAAGTTCTCCAAGAAAGAAGCCACTGTCTTGTGCCCAAGTGTCTGGAGCACTCGAGTGGGTTGTGATAAGGTCCAGGGTGTAAGAGGGCATCTGGGGGTTCCCTTGTGCCCTTCTGGCATGGGTGGTTGGAGGAAACATGATGTGGAGACAGGAGGGTGCAGGGACGGGTGGCATTGGCATATGTGCATGCCCTGCAATAGGCTCTTCTCTTCTCTTTTGACATCCTTGTCATCTTTCATGGACCAGTTCAAGCCTCAGTTCTTCCAAGCAGCCTTCCTGGACTACTCCAGCCGGTGCTGACCACCCTTCCTCTGAATTCTTCCTGTGTGTTCTAGTGACAGCAGTCGCCGTTCTGAAGTTAGCTACCCAGGGCCTGCTGCCTTCAATCATATAAGCCTTGTCTTCCTGATGAGACCCCAGATCTTCTGTGGTAGAAATAAGACTCATAAATTTTTTTTTTTTTTTTAAGATGGAGTCTTGCTCTCTGTCACCCAGGCTGCAGTAGTTCGATCTGGGCTCACTCCAACCTCCGCCTCCCAGGTTCAAGCGATTCTCCTGCCTCAATCTCCCTAGTAGCTGGGGCTGCAGGCATGTGCCACCAGGCCCGGCTAAATTTTTTTTTTTTTTTAAGATGGGGTTTCACCATGATGGCCAGGCTGGTCTTGAACTTCTGACCTCAGGTGATCCACCCACCTCAGCCTCCCAAAGTGCTAGGATTACAGGTGTGAGCCACCGCACCCAGCAATT